TAGTTGCTTGAAAAATCTGTAAGTAACAGCGAGATAATCATCAATGCCTCTAAATGAGTCAACTAGTGTTTACTTAAAGTTATTGTTTCCACATGCACACACTTCACTGCATTTTACTATTCCCTTCTCAAATTCTCTATCCATGTGCACACACATCACTTTCAAAGTTAGATTATTTAGTGTTTTCACTTTTATACTTTCTATTTAATTCATGCCTTAGAATCTACGTAAAGCAGTTAAGTAAGATAGAGAACATCACTTACTTGATCATGGAACATCCTTAGCCAAGTGGAGCATCTTATGAGAATGGATCGTCCACTTCAAGAAAACCATATGTGTTTGTCTTGGTTTATGGAGCATTCTTGTATATTGTGAAGATGGTCAAGATCAAAAGCCTTAAAGAACCATCTTGAAGCAACTTCGTGCTCTTGGACCAACATGGAACAACTTCAGGAATATGCACCAAATTTGGAGCAACAACATCAACTTGATCATATTGATCATCTTGACCATCTTGAGGCATATTGGACCATCTTCATCAACTTGATAATCTTGACCATCTTGAGGCATCTTGGATGGTCTTCATTATCTCAATCAACTGGAAGTACCTCGGAGAAACTTCACCAACTTGAAAGATCTTGATCACTTGGACCAGCTTCGAGCGTCGTCAGTCTTTTGGAGCATTTTCAAAAAACGTTGGACCATGCTCAACAACATTGCAGCATGATCAAGAACATTGTCTCGTGATCAATAGCTTGAAGCATCTTCAGTCACTTGGTGCATTACGCCCATGTGGCTCATTAAGTCCACATAGAACATCATAAATGTGCCATGCACGTTTCCAATAGGTCATACATGTTTTAATGACCCATGCATGTTTCAAGTAGGCCATGCACGTGTCACATATGTCATGCACGTTTCGAGAAGATCTTTCCTTAGGCGGCATGCACGTCTCAAAGATACCATCCATGCATGCACCACCTTTTCTTTCTTGATTCTCAAGGCACCATTCTCGCGCTCGTGACTCAAGTTGAAATTCTCCTATTTATACTTGAATACCATCCAATCTTTATGGACCCAAATGTTGGCCCATGCAAGCCCTATTTCGGCCCATTGAGAAACCCTAGAACTCTTCAACTATAAACACCTCACTTCTACTTCTCATTCTTGCTTTTTCACTCTCTCACAAATTCTTACTTTCATACTCGCTTGGAGAAACAAGGCGTCGTGAGCAACAATCGCGTATGCAATAGGCAACTAACGTTGGTGAGCAAGAAGCAGCCTTGGCACAACAACAAGTTTGGCTCAACAACAAACCCATTTTTGAAAAACCCTCTTGAGCCATAAGTCTTCTTAAGTTGCAAACCGTAATTTGGCTCAACAACCATCCTATTTTCAAAATCCACTTCTTGAGCAACAAGTTTTTCTCAAAACCCTAGTTTCACTCAGCAAACCCTAATTGTGATCAACAAGTACTTCTTGTGCCTTCTTGACCCATTAGTGATCAATAAGGAATTTGTACCCCCCCCCCCCTTTTAAGAATCAATTAATTTTGAAACCCTTCTTGAGCCAAAACCCTAATTTCAAAATTTCTTCTTGATCCTCAACAACCTTCTCTTGCTCATCAAGTAAGTTCAAAACCCTTCTTGAGTCAAACCCTAATTTCGAAATTCCTTCTTGATCCTCAACAAGGTTTTTTTGTGCCCTCTTGATCCATTCATGATCAACAAGGTTTGTTGTGTCCTCTTGAGCCATTCATGATCAACAAGGTTTTTGTGCCCTCTTGAGCCATTCATGATCAACAAGGTTTTTTGTGCCCTCTTAAGCCATTCATGATCAACAAAGTTTTTTGTGTCCTCTTGAGCCATCAAGCAAATTTCGAAAACCTTCTTAACCCAAACCCTAATTTTGAAAAACCCTCTTGATCATCAACAACCTTATCTTGATCATCAAGCAATATTTGAATTCCTTCTTGACCCAAACCCTAATTTCGAAAAACCCTCTTGATCATCAACGACCTTATCTTGATCATCAAGCAAATTTGAATTCCTTCTTGACCCAAACCCTAATTTTGAAAAACCCTCTTGATCATCGACAACCTTATCTTGATCATCAATCAAATTCAAATTCCTTCTTGACCCAAACCCTAATTTTGAAAAAGCCTCTTGATCATCAATAACCTTATCTTGAGCATCAAGCAAATTTGAATTCCTTTTCGACCCAAACCCTGATTTCAAAAAACCCTCTTGATCATCAAAAACCTTATCTTGATCATCAAGCGAATTCGAATTCCTTCTTGAACCAAACCCTAATTTCGAAAAACCCTTTTGATTATCAAAAAACTAATCTTGATCATCAAGCAAATTTCCAATTCCTTCTTGACCCTAACCCTATTTTCGAAATTCTATCTTGATCATCAACAATCTTATCTTGATCATCAAGTAAATTCAAACCCCTTATCATGTCCTATATATACTCATTGCTCCAGCCTCTTAATCATTAACTCAATCTCGTGAACCCTCTTGATCATCAAGTTCGAAACCCTTCTTGATCTACCCTTAAAGTTCGAAACTCTTCTTGATCAAGACTCAAATTTTGAAACCCTACTTGAGCCACACTCAAATTTTGAAACCCTTCTTGATCTACCCTCAAATTTCGAAACCCTACTTGATAAGACTCAAATTTTGAAACCCTTCTTGAGCCACACTCAAATTTTGAAACCCTTCTTGAGCCACACTCAAATTTTGAAACCCTACTTGAGCCATACTCAAATTTCGAAACCCTACTTAAGCCACCCTCAAATTTCAAAACCCTACTTAAGCCACCTTCAAGTTTCGAAACCCTAGTGAACATTAAAGTCTTGGAGCAACATCAATTGATATCATCATCATCTCTTGAGCTAATCACAACCCTAGGTGAGATTTTTTTTTTGAAAACCTTAATTCACATTTTTTTTCTCTTCTTACCCTAGATCATTTTTTTCTTGTACAAACCCTAGTTTTCTTATTTTTGGATCATCATCAACTACTTGTTGGAGAATCATCATTCAACCTCTCTTGTGTGGATCATCTTCAAAATCTAGTGTTTATCATCACGTGGTCTTTCATCATTTTATGTTGAGCACAACATTCCTTGATCACTCTAGGTACGTGTTCATTCCTTTTCTTTACACTTTATGGTGATCATGATGTACGCCTTTTAAAAGGTTGTTTTTTTTCTTAACATAACATAGATTTGCATATCTCCTGTGTCATTTGTGTTGACTTATCTCTCTATTACTCACTGATTCAACAAGACATCAACTGGTAAGTAACTTCACTCTCGTATGTGCACATATCCTCATATAATAAAGTTACCCATCCTTTGGTTGATGATTCATGTCTATACATATGTTCCTATGGGCAGGTTCCCCTAGTATTCGCCTATCACTTCTTCTAAGTGAACATCTCCTCTTGTTGCAATCATATTGAGTAAGTAAATTTTTTTTCTATTTTATTATTTTTATTTTATTTCTTCTTGATCATTAAGTCATCTTCACATACCATGCTTAGGTTATTTAGTGTTGACTCTTTGATCAAATCTTTCCTGTGAGCATTATACTTATTGGTGCATATCTTGCTTTTCATACTCACAAGTCCATTACCTACACCCATCTTCTTTAAGGTAATTTCTCTTCTCTTACTCTTTAGTGATCTTCAGTTTCATTTCGTTATATGTTATTTTTGGATCAACATATATATATTTTTTTGTCAACTGTTGTCTCTACGATACCTAATTTTATGTTAGTTTCTAAAGACTTTTTCATTTCATGTGATATAGTCATCATAGGCCATGACTTAGCAGTTTTACTTGATCTTTGCACTTTTGCTATGATTTAGTAACATCAATTTTTTGTATATGACATAAATTTCTTTCTTTCTTATTCCAACTTGTCATGTAATTTGCTTTCTGGCCTATACTCAGTAAAAATGAATTTGCAAATTCTTCCTATCCATAGTTGAATCAAAAATACTACTCAAGTCACAACTTTGTTTAGTAAATGCAAATTCACACATTTCAACCCCCCCCCCCCCTCCCTCTTTTAGTTAAGACTATAAGCTATTCTTTTTAGCTATATTTCTTCAGCCAACAATTTCTTTTATTTATTTATTTATTTATTTTTATTCTTTTTCTATTCTTTTTCAAGACACGGCTGATACAAAAGATGGTCAGACTTCTAAAGCAAAGTCTTCTCATAAGGCTTCACACTCTCATGCCACTGGACCTTCAACTATGACACACTCATCATCACCTAAAGTTGAAATGGTTGCATCCAAGTATATTGCACTTCTTAACACTCATGAACAACCCAATGAAGTCAGTGTCATCGTTGAGTATCTGCATAAATGCCCGTTGGCATATGCACTTTTTTCTACTTCTCCAACTCCACAATCTCTTATCACTGAAGTATTCCAGTCAGCAGTCATCTCCACAAGAGCAAGGTCCAAACAACTTGATGTTGAATTTAATCTTTTTCAAGCTACTTTGGTACTCACTAAAGAAGAGTTCGCAGTCAGTTTAGGTCTAAGCGATATTCCTCCTACACCTCAGACATTTGTCACACCAACTTCTGCTCAATTATTGTCAATGTTCAAGGAAATGGGGTATAAATTCAAAGACGAACAAGAACCATGACTTTCAAGAATTTGGAAATCTTGTCTTCCCACACCATGGCACTTTCTCAGTTCCGTCCTCACTAGATGTCTATTCGGATTACTTGGTGGACGCATCAAGAGTAAAACATACCTTTAGATTCTTATGTATAGGCTCTTATATGACATCAATTTTGACTACATTCTATTCTTTAGGAAGATTTCCTTAATTTTCACCCTGTATCAAAGAATAAGTTTTTGATTCATCATCCTCATTGGTGGTCAATCATTATTTATGATGCCATCCATAATAGTAATATTGCACCAGGATGGATTCCAGAAGGCCCACAGCTACATTTCTTGTGTATGATGCCATATCGGATACGTAAGACAGCTGAATCTGGGTCTTCACAACCAGTCGTCATTCCAGATTCTATTCTTACAAAGTTGTATGAAAACAGTGCTTCTCTATGCTCATATCAGAAATACATCCACGAATTACTTCGCCTCCCAAAAAGAAGAGGAAGCATTCTAATCATGCATCCAACAAGTCTGCAAAGAAGAAGAAATCCAAATCAAGTCAACCACCCCTATCTCATCTCTAGCCATCTCTGATGATAATCATGGAGAAGATTTAGAGGAACCAACATCTCTCCCTAAATCTGGTACAACCTCTAAGTCATTCTCTTTCATAGATTCTGTATTTCACGCACCATCTAATTATCATAAACCATCTTCTTCAGCTCCAATTTCACTAGCACACGTTCAGTCGGTTCTAGAATGTCCAAACCATCATGTTTCCTTGGATTATGACTCACTTGAGGATGATAACCAAGATGATGATAAGAAATCCGAACCAAAAAATTTTCCTCAAGATTATCCAGTACAAGATAATCCCGATGACGATACTCCAATGCGGACGGTCGATATCCCTTCCAGTGAAGGACTGATAGTCAATGATGAGACCAATGACATGTCTATTGTTCTTTAATCCACTGTATCTGCCAGGACATTCACCATTGATCTTGTTGATTACTCTCCTCCAACTCCAAAAGAATCTCAAGAAAAAGATGTTGTTAACGAACCAAAACTCTCATCCTTTTCACAAGATCCTCTTCAGGATGACAATACTCCTAAAGACACAAATGAGGACAATACCACATAAACAGAGCCTGAGCGCATCAGACTTACTGCCCAAATGGTAGTTGATGGTGTTGCAGAGATTCTCTTTCACACATCTTCTCACTCTGAATATCTGCAGAACTTTCAAGAATATCTTGAACGTATGGAAGAAAATATGTGTATCCTCAATGAGAAAACAGAAGCACGTGTCAAAACACTTCAAGTCACTATTGATGATTTTGAAGGCACAACTGCTTATATCAAAGGACAAGTTGCTCGCAACATGCGGAGGATTCAAACTCTAGATCAGAAAGTTCATAACACTATTGACGCATGTCTCTCTCCGATGAATCAGAAGATAGATGACTTTATATAGTCCTTATCCAATGCAGAGTCCATCTATGAAGCCAAATTGGATCATATGCAGAATCATGTTACTGCTCAAGATCGCTATATTTCCACTCTTGAGAAGTCCATTGATGAACTATCTAAAGCCTCTGCATCATCCTCCACCTCTCCCTTTCATGCGTTCAGTGAGCAAGTTCAACTTCAATTGCATTCATTAAGCTCTTACATAGAAAATTTATCCAAATCTAATTCTGAGAAAATCGATAGCTCATCAGGTGACATATCTTCTCTTTAGAAGACTGTTCAGTTTCTAGTCAATGAAGTCAAGGCTATCAAGCAACAATATTCCTCTTCAAATCTATGTGCTCTTCAAAAAAAGGTTGCGTCAACTGATTCCAAACTTGACTTGATCTTAGCAAAGCTATCTGGTTCAAATGAGAGGTCACCAGAACCAAAGGGGGAAAAGGTCCACAAGAATAGATCAAGTCAGTCTCCTATCATACACCAAATTCCAAACTCACCAAATGAGTTTGAGAAAATGAGATATGAGAAAATACAGTCACTTGACAAAATCGTTATTGATGCATGATTAAAGGCTCAACAGAACAGAGCAATGTTAGCTGAGAAAGACAAGGAGTTGATTCTTCAACAAGGGATGAAAGATCCATCTCTAAAAGTTTCAAGAAGGAAAGATGTCCATTTCTCTAAACCGCTCATCATATTAGAACCAACCACTCAGTCAAAGCCTCCTCACAGTGATCCCAACGATAAGGGAAAGGAATTAGCTAAAGAAACTCAAATGCAAATAGATGAAGAGTTAGCTAAGCAACTAAAGGCTAAGGAGTTAAAGTCGAAACAAAAAATGCTTCAAAAAAGAAATCTCTACAGATCTCGACCGAAGAAAGGAGTACATGACATGATAAACAATTTAGAGTGTCTTCACCTAAAATAAATATCTTCTTTAACCCTTATAGAGATTCCTATCAAAAGGTAAAGGTCATTAAGCCCACAAATTCCTTCACACCTCCTTCAGACCTCACTAAAGAAAATTGGGATATTCTTGCACCCCCGAATGGTATGAAGTTTAACTTATGGCCAAGTGCAATTTATCCAGCTGAAGTTGATTTAGACATTGAAGACCTAAAGAAAAGATTTTTTCTAAAGAAACCAATTCAAGTTTTCCCTGTATGGTCAAAAATTAAGACTGCTTCAATCAACAAGATTGACATACAGAAATTTAGAAAAATGCCATATGCGTTCTTTCAAGGAAGAAGAGCAGAAAACTATGAGTTCATGTTTTCAGAAGCTGATTTCCCTAGAATAAACCAAGATGATATTAGATCCCTAATCATTTGGTTGAAACAAAGGGTGAGTACAGATAAAACTTATGCAGATGTTCTACAACGCCTAAGGCAATATGTGCTCGACATGGTTATTGATTTCAGTGTTGACTGGGAGATTGGACAGCTAAGAGAAAAGGAATCTGAGGAACCAAATGTGAATCTGAATATGGAGAATGAGTCATCTGGGAACATTCTAAAGAAACCACATAGAGGTGTTGTATGCTCTTCTAAAGGTCGACTGAAATTCATGAGAATTTCCCAAAAACATCTATTATCTTCTGAATTCGTTGAAGGCATCATCGGTTTATTGAAAAGAATAGGAGATCAAGAAGAATTGCTGAGAGCGAAGATCTTTGAAGAACTTACATGGTTTTTGAGTTTTCGGCAATGGTTAATAAACTTGAGAAACAAAATCTAGATTATGTTTCTTTTTTTGTTTTGTTTGTTTTTTTTTCGAAGATGTGGATGATGTTTTTGCTACTGGTAACTTATCATATTGCTAAAATTTATCTTGCGTGTTATTACTTTTATTTCTACTTTTATTTTTACTCCTTATTTCAGTAACCATCACATATGGGGAAACTGTTGGAAAATATTTATATGTGATTGTCAATTGAAATAAGTTGAGTCCTTTATATATCTTTCTAACAAACATTATCATAATGTTTCAGGTTGGAAAGATGTTGAAGATTCAACAAGTGTTTGAAGAATCAGATGTTGGAGCACTTGAAGCTTACATGGAGCACCTGCTGTTGACATGGATCACTTGTTGAAAGCTAGTTGGATCATCATGATCTTAGATGGCATATCTAGATCATATGTGGAGCATCAAGACACTGATGGATCATTTGGAATATTGATAGCTCATCAGAAACATTGTTGACTCATCCACAAATCTATGGCTCAACAAGAACACTTGGTGGCTCAACTCAAGTCAATGGATCAACATGATCATATTGATAGCTCAACAAGACTGCACATGACACATCATGTACAACGAAGGCACGTCCAAATGCTCAAAGGAACATGAATTTCGTCCATGACCTATTATAACACCCGCGTTTCCAGGCTAGGCATTATCATTGATGTAATAGTCTAGGTTAACCCTTGTAACTCTTTTTGAAGTATTAATGATGAAATATTTGAGTATAATGTAAATTATGTGAATTATGTATTTATTTTCTTAATTATTATAATTTAATGAATTAATAATAAAATAAGCATCAAAATTAAAGTATGAGAGAAGCCCGATATCTTTACATAAATATGTAGTGGTTGAAACAAGGATCCCGAAGATATAAAGAATGTCGTAATCCGAGTTATAACGAAGAAGTTATGACCTGTCGAAGTTTCGCGACAGAACCGACAACGCTGAATGACGTAAAAAGTGAAATTTACGTTATAGTGATATTTAGCCTTAGTGATCTAAACAAAAGTCATAGAGTTCGTTAAACCGAGAGCGTTCATAAAAAGAACGCCCAAATCTGACTTCATATGAGGAAGTTATGATTTTTCTAAGTTTCGACTTAGCAGTATGCAGCCCAAAAACTCGATTTGAGACTGAACAGTTTTTAGCCGAAACAATCTAAACGAGAATCGAAGATCTCGTTAATAGTAGTAAAACGATAACAAGATAGGCAAAAACGGACGTCGGATGAAGAAGTTATGAATTTATAACGGAGTTTTCCTGTCCCGGTCTACTAAAAATAAATAGTAAAAATAAAATTCAAAATTAGCCGACAGAGTCTAAACAAAAGTTGTAGAGCGTAGTCTCACCTATGCATGGATATAAAGAACGTCGAAAACGGAGTTCGTATGATGAAGATATGAATTTTTGAAGTTTATTAAATAATTAGAATATAAATTCATATATATATATATATATATATATATATATATATATATATATATATATATATATATATATATATATATATATATATAGATTTCGGATAATATCCGAAGGGGGGAGGAGTCACCGTTCCGATCAACACTACGCCCAGCGTACCACTCGAGTGCTCCGGGTCCGTAAGCGATGACGTCGAAGCCCCGATGATGCAAGCAGTGACGACTTTGGAGGAGTACGCCCCGCGTAAGGGCATTATGACCAGCGTAATGCGAGGCCTCATCCTCCTATAAAAGGCTTGCGAGGGCAGCCGATATTTTTGCTCTTTTTCTCTCTTCTCTCTCTCCTGTTTTGCATCGTTTTTCGTACACGAATTATCCAGAAGCATCATTCTCGAGCCCCGAAGCAAGTCCCGAAGCCCTGGATCCCGAGAAGTGAAATTCTCGAGCTGAAGCTCTGCCCGCGAGGAGCCCGGTTTTTGTGAAGATCTTCCAGATCTGCTGAAGAATATTACTTCTACAAGTCGTAGTGTTGTCCGATCGTCTTCTGATCAAGTGAGTATGTAGTTACTTTCTTCTAACGCATAATTATGAAGTATTTTATACGAAATACGTGTTATGTGTATAATTTGTTGTTATATGTGTGAATGTATATTCACTTTCTTCAATCTCATAGATATGGTTTATTCTCTATGAAATACATGTTATGTGTATGTGTCTCATCTGTTGTTTGGAATATGTATTGAATGAGAAGCTATGCAGTTTTAAACTATGTATAAATATATATATTTTTATCTACTAATATATTGGGTAGAACATGGGTACATGGTTGTGTGATAAACAGATGAGAGGCCTCGATGTTGTTTTTGATTCAATCATCTAGCGGAGTTTAGATGACGACGACAGACTTTTCTAGATAGTCTTGTGGAACGCTAGCAGGTTCGCCACCTGTAGGTGTTAACGAACTTGGGTGTTCATTCGCTCTACTCCATCCCCCTCATGGTTTCTTTATTTGACATATATTGTCGGGAAACCCCCGAATGCATGTGTTGTCACCCCGATGAAATATTCTAAGACTAGGTCCCTTGTGTTAGTTGTTTTAGGGACGTAAAGTGAGAATAACGGGAATGGGTAATTGGGTTATTGTTGGTTGCACTCACTCACCGAATCACACACAACAATATGTTTTATAACACCAAGTTACTAGTGCGTTTACATATTATCAATGTGCAACCGATTTGCAAGATACAACTCACACATCTCGGTTTCAAGAATATAAGATGTTATCGTCTCACCAATCACTCGTGATACAATCCATGGAGTGATCCAAGTGAGCGTGGGTTTAATCCAATGCTTAAATTCATATTCATAAGCACTCATGAACGTTGCAGCAAACATTTGCTTATGTCTAATACTCTTTTAGACAATCCACACACCAATTCACGATAGTCTTCATTCATACCTATTTCCAACATATGAACGACTGTGGCTCGTTCGAATAATTTGACTGTTCTTAACCAATTAAATTATTCAGGAAGTCAAAACATGCAAAGTGAAACACAAGAATAATACTAATCCCATATGGCCTCAAACCTTTGAGTATAAATAAAACTCCTTTTATTTATCACCATATCGATTACTCATTATTTGTCGTTTCGGTAATCAACTTCTTACTTGAATTATTACACTTGTCACATGCTCCTAGCATGCACACAATGTTTACCTATGGTTCTTACTTTGTGAAATAGATCAAATTGAACACATTTCCAATCATTCTCATTTCACAACTCCAAATCCTTTTTCATAAGTGAAAGAATATCAAATTCTTGCTACTTATAGAATATGCTAGATTCTAACATTCTATGCCATGATTCTTTCGTAATGTCACTGCACCAAAGTCACAAAGACTATTGCCAATGATATTACAAAATCTTCTATCGGAGATTGTTACAAGACAATTCCTTAGATATGATGTCTCTCACTCAAAGTACATTCCTTTGAACATCCTTTTGCATAAAAGTTTCTAATCTAGACATAGATTTTCAATATTCAATTCCCAATATGGACACGCTTCCATATTTTCCATATGAAAACTCATTCTTAATAGAATCTTATCTATTCGTAATGATGTCGATATGGTCCGTTCAATACCATGCTTCCAACTACTCATAAGCAACCAATCCTCGTCGAACATTGGATTGTCCTTTGATAGTTGTTTAATTATTTTAGTCAAAACCGATTCTAGTACCTTTTCCCTCTAAATGCGCTAGACATTTTGAAAATTTTAGAATGGTCAAACATTAAAGCATTTGCAATCGATCCTATACCCGAAGCGTATGGGACACGACGCATAATGTTTTATTTGCTATGTTCTCAAAATTCGAATTGTGAAAAAGAATGTCGTAATCATAATTGAAATTTTAAGAACACACTATGTTTCTTTGACTAAGTTATTAACATTCCACAACCTAAGCCTTTAGATTTGAAATGAAGCATAATATTCTCTCCCTTAATTATACCAAAACAACTATTCCATCCTTACGACTTTGCAAAGAATGACTCTTGTTTTCTATAATTAATACTGCCAACTTGCAATACTTGCCTTAATAATCATACAATCATAACATTTATGCTCCCACTATCATGATGATTATTATAAACATAACACTTATGCTCCCACTAGCTTTGACATGTATTCATAAACATCTTAACTTTCAGAAAAACAATACCTATTGAATTTCTTAAGTCCATGTTTCTAATACTTAATGCTTTGATAATCTTTTATCAAGGCTTCTCGAACTTATACACCTTTGCCTTAGATAGTTCATATGTGTGTCTAAACACTTAAGAATAATTGTCTAAACACCAAAGTTTATGACAAATTCAAACTCATATGGATCAAACTTTCTTAATCTTGATTTCTTGCCTTATGGTGGCACAACTGCCCACCATGTCTTCCAAGTAGTTAAGCAGCTCACCCTATCCTATCAATGTACCTTTCATTGATTAAGGTGTCTTTCCTTTTATGCGTTGAAAATGAGAACTCATAGAACTCACATGCATAATTAACTCAATTGGAATAGCACAGAAACAAAATAACATCAACACGATAGGTTGTAAACCTTAACTTGTGTGCTAGTGATGAATGATAAGGTTTATTTGATTTCTTCTTGAAACCTTTCAAGACCATTAAGACTCCCACTGACTCCTTGACATATAAGATTCTCTTGTCAATAACCATTTCTTGACAAACAATTATTCAAGAGTTAGTGTAGCTTATATCAAAACACTTCATAAATTGGTCCTAGTTGGTCTTTGTCTTATCCAAGACATCACAACTTTCCACATTTGATGAATGTTATAAACCTTATTAATACTTTTTCACTCGACGTCAAAATCTTAACTTTAAGACTTGTTATTGGAACGAAGTACGATTGACCTTTTGATTTAACCATTTCTTCAATTCTTGATTCCTCTTCTTAGACATATAATTGTGCTAAGACTCACTTAGAGGATCAATTAAGATATGGTTCTTAATCATTAAGACTTATCATAAAGCATAAAATCTACTCT